CGTACATATACATATGTTATTTCATCACTTCGAATGCTGGATTGAAAAACATTATTGAGTTGAGATCCTTATTCTTCGCGGCAAGAATAGCTCGTTCACTGAGCCAATCGTGATTCTTGTAATTAATTTGAGTATCCGGAAACATTCTTTCGATCAGTTCTCCTTTCGATGTTTCTAAGTTACAAAAATTATCAGACATTAAAATTCGTCCTAATCTCTCATTGACTGCAGCTTTCCGTTCCGTATGTTCAGTAATTGTCGCGAGAATTCCTAGGCTTATTAATCGCTCTGTAGTTGGACACGCATATTCGTAGTCAACTGCAATGTATGTATGTTCGTCTGACCGCAATGTTGAATATTTCAGGCAAGCATTCATCTCACCCGCTGGTGTCAATCGAGAAATTACAGGCAATGTTTGCGTAAAATCTCCTGCGAGCAATATCAATGCATTTCCGAATGGTTGAACATTTCTACGCAAATCTAGGGATAAATCGATACAAGTAAATCCAAGTACATACCCGATACTTTTTTCAATTTACCAAGTAGTTTTTTACTTACTTACTTACTTTTTACTGCGATCCAAGTAGGTATCGAAAAAGAGTACTTGTATCGTAAGCGCAAAACTTACTATGATTCAGCATCTTCTTTGAAAAGTAACCCGTTAGAGGAATGGGAAGATATGCGCACTACATAAGCGAGCCCGTTTATACATATCGGTTGTTGGGTCATCTGTCCCTTGCTAGAGGCTTTTCTAAAAAACAGGTACAACTATCAAGCATATTCTAAAATTCGAAAATTTCAAATCGACTCGATTTCGATAATTTTCTCAACGGTTTTTAACCGAAAAAATTTACAAGTATCGCATTAACTTCTTTTACGGTTTTCAATCATAATATTCACTCTTTTCATCAGATATAATTAAAAAATATTTGGCAAATCGAGTCGAGTTCAAAGTTTCGAATTTCAGAACATGCCCGTATACCAAAATCTCGAAAGCGCCGTTCAGGAAAACACTTGGAAAAGTTGATTTTTTTGGGGAAATATAACAAAAAAGGAGATATTTTCTTAAACTTATTTTATATGAAAAAACTTTATCTATTATTCTTGTAAAAATGTAATCTATTGTTTTTGTATGAAAAAATATTAGAAGATAAATAATCTTGTAAAAATGCATATTTTTTGTGAAAAAAGTTCAATAACTTTGAAAAATTTGCAAAATCGTAGTTCTATGTACAAGTACTCGATACCTTGCCGATACTGAGTAGGTATCGATACCTTGTTTGATACAAGTACAAGTACTGATTTGAGTAATACCTTGATGGTGTCGATTTATCCCTACGCAAATCTCGCACCGATGTTCTGGAAATATTGCACGTGGGAGTTTCGATGATTTGTATCTTCAATGGCAGCATAAGAGCTTAATGAGAAGTGTTTCCACCTGGTAACAATGTCGCAGATATTCCAGACGAAGCGAGAGCTACGGCTATGTAATTTTTTCATCGAACCGTTGCCACAATCTTATAAGGAATGTTCTCCTAGTTCCCCTGGCGCATACAAGAAGAAATAAATTTATCATTTGCATCTTCTTATTTGCCGCTGTAACCGCATAAGCGATTTTAGCCGAGTTCGACAAAGCATGTCAGTCGCTTCTCTCTGTGCCAACTTACGCCAATTGGAAATTCCACGTGAAGCCAAGTCCTTCTTCACTTGGCCTTTCCATTGCTGTGGGCACCTCCCTCTCCCCTGCTACTACCAGCAGATTGCGAGTCGAATACTTTTAGACCTGGAACGCGGTTCCCATTCGAACGACATGGCGAAGCTAGCGGATCCGCTGTAAAGCTTATACAGCTCATCGTTCCATCGTCTGCGGTACTCATCGTCGTGAACGCGCATTGTTCTGTAAGTCTTCCGTAAGATCTTTCTCTCGAATATCATTCTTCTGCGCCATATACCAGCATGGGCATGATGAGTGACTTATAGAGGGTGGTTTTTGTACGTCGAGAGATAACTTTACTCTCAAATTGCCTACTCACTCCAAAGTAGCACTTGTTCGCTAGAGTTATTCAGCCTTATATTTCGATTACGACATTATTATCGGTGTTATGCTGGTTCCTAACAAAACAAAATTGTCTACTTTCTCGAAATTACAACTGGCAACAGTGACGTGGGTGCCAAGGCAACGGTGACGGGAGATACCTCGTCTTGTCCTCGTTGATCGCCCAACCCAATCGCTTGGCTTCGTTATCCAACTTGGAAAAGGCAGAACAGGGCTCGAATCGTCACATACGATATCGTACTACTTGTCACGTAAAAACCCATTTTTCGGATTATGGCATACGTCAACGTACTCTGTGTCCCATTCAGCTTATACTGCCTGACGTATCACGTAATTTTCTTTCGTATCGTTTTCGACCAGTGAACGGATGTTACGATTCGAGCCCAGACTTCGCGGTTTTTGTTACCGATGATGTCGATGTCATTGGCATACGCCAGAAATTACACGCCCTTGTAAAAAATTGTTCGTGAGTGGTTCAGTTCTGCAGCTCTTATTATTTTAACATTTGCAATATGCGAACATAAATGCCCTTCTGCTCACACATTAATTTGTGAATGTATGATTGGGCATATAACAGGAGATAAGAATAATAATAATAATCATAATCTTCATAATATTATCCAACGTTATTCAAATTGCTCGCTGATTTTTAGAAGAAATTTGCTAAAAACCTGAAGAAGGTCTTCTAATTTAGAGAAAAAAAAATTTTTAAAATGTGGGTATTGTTAGGTAGATGTGTATTTCACTAAGGTAGATTCTTAAGGTACGTTCACACAGAAAGCAAAGCCGAGCCGATCGAAGCCGTTCCGAGCTGAGTGAAGATTTCAAATTGCTGTAGCTACATCAACATGTTCATACAGCAAGCTTTTTCATGACTGTTTTGGAGCTGAAAGCAAAGCAGTTTTTGATTTTGAATTTTCTATTTAATTTTTCAGCTCCATGACGCTGCTGTAATTAAAATAGCAAAATATTCAAATAAAAACGAATTTTACAACTAATCTTTTGAATAAATTTGAGCAAATATTTTTGCCGCTTTTCATTGACGGTAAGTCACTTAAACTGTCCGGCTTTTGGATAAATGGCAACATAAATAAAAATCTCTTGTAAAGCTCTCCCTAACAATTTTCGGTTCAATTATGTAATATTTCATTTAATTCCAATATTTGCAGTCTTTACTTTTAGATAGGGCATAATCTTATTGAAAATATTTCTAAATCAAAATTTCTCAAATGCCTTTAGTTTGGTACCCATATTGTAACATTTCATTTCTTTTACCAATTTAATAGAGTTAAATTTTCATACAGGTGGTAACCTTCAAACATATTTTCGACTGTAGGTCTTTTAAAAATTCTATAGTTTGATACCCGCATTCCAATATTTAGTTTAATCAATTTAACTGAGTTAAAATTTACAAATAGGTGGCAACCTTCCTCAAAGGTAATTCACAAAGTCTTCTTTCTTAAACCTCTTTAGTTTGATACCTACATCAATTAAATTAAGTTAAATTTTCAAACAGGTGGCAACCCTCTTCAAACATTTTTTCAGATGTAAGCCTTCTTAAAAATCAAATTGCAGTATTTCATTTATTTTATCAATTTGACTGAGTTTAAATTTTCAAAGAGGTGGAAACTCTACTCAAAAATATTTCCAGCAGTTATCTTCCTTTAACTTCTTTACCTTAATACCTACATTGTAATACATTATTTAGTTTATCAATTAAATTACGCTGAATTTTTTAACAGGTGGCAACCCTCCCTTAAACATTTTCGATTTTAAGCCTTCTTAAAACTCTTTAGTTTAATACCCCCATTGCAGTATTTCATTTACTTTATTCACTTAACTGAGTTAAAATTTTAAAATAGATGGCAACCCTCCTCAAAAATATTTCCAGCAGTTATCTTTCTTAAGCCTCTTGAATTTGATACCCATATTGTAGTATTTCATTTACTTTATCGATGTACTTTAGTTAAATTTTCGAACAGGTGGCAACCCTCCTCACACATATTTTCGGTTGTCAGCCTTCTTAAAACTCTTTAGTTTGACACCCACGTGGCAATATTTCATTTATTTTATCAATTTGACTCCGTTAAAATTTTCAAATAGGTGGCAACCCTCGTAAAAAATATTTCCAGCAGTTATCTTTCTTAAACCTCTTTAATCTGATACCCATATTGTAATAATTTATTTAGTTTATAAATATAATTGGGTTTAAAAAATTTCAAATAGCTGGCAACCCTCCAATTATTTGCGATATTATTTGTTCTGGTATTATACCGAACAACACAAAAAAAAATTATTCAAATCGGTTCAGCCGTTCTCGAGTTTTGACGACCGTGACATACGAACACAACATTTTTATAGATAAAGATTTAACGTGTTAATAAATATTTTGCGAGTGGGTTGGCTGAAAAAATCCTGGCAGGGATATTTTAAATTAAATATTCAAAAATTATTTTTATTTCTTTAATTCTGTACCCTGTTGTTTAATGAACAAATTATATACCAATGGAAAGTATTAAGCCTATAAAACGTGAAGACGTTGACTATTATTTCCTGGCCTACCTATCGGGTTGGCAGGTATGAAAAGGTAGGTAAGACTAGTAATTTTCAATCATCTGTTTAACACATTCTATAGACTTTATGCTTTCGATTGGTATATGTATAATTTGTTCTTTAAACAAATGAGTGCAAAATTAAAAAAATTATAATAATTTTTGAACAATTAATTAAAAACATCCAGGCCAGGATTTTTTCAGCCAACCCACTCGCGAAATATTTCCTAACACGTTAAATACATACAAAGTAGATTTCATCCATTAAACAGATGGGTGAAGGTCTTGCCTTTGTCGGATCTCCTACTAGTATAAACTCATTATCGTAACATATTTTTAAATACGTAATAGATAGTACTATATCGTTTATCTTAAAGTTTATATATACTTACTTATGTAGTCTGGCAACGTAACCATGAGCTTCTCATAAAAACCAAATAGTCTTTCTTAATAAATTTGATTTGAATTAGTGGATGAGCGCAATATTTTTTGCCATATGGAAGATATATGGTAGAAAATACATTTGATGTTTGCCAAATTCATATTTAAATATGCACATGCACATGTACATGTGTATCTATGTACGAACATATACGAACGTAAATATTTCTGGTGAGTATTTTCCATATGTATTCGTAGGTGACGTAAAGCAAGCAAATTAAATAACGAGATATACTTTAAGTATCTGTATCTTGGGATCTAATACAAATTAATGCCATGATTTTGTAGTTTTCAGGCGCGCTTTAACCCGTTCGCGAATGGCAATTGGCCTTTGTTTTATGGTTTTGTTTGCCAATATTTCTTTATTGTAGACACCACTTCGCTTGACACCTAAAAACCATTAACAGTAATTCATTGAATTCCAAACTCATTTGTGACTGCATGGAAAAACATGTTCACTAAATTAAGGCGAGGCCTTTTATATTTTCACTTACAACTCACACCAATGCCAATAACTCGTTTTCAATTCCAGTTTTCCGTCGAAACGGACCACACTCCTTCGTTGCTGAAGGATGACTGAGATTGCTTAGTGATAACCAGTTAAGATATGAACTGAATGCTGTTTCGGGCCCACCTTTGCGCCCACGACAACAGAGGGAGCAAAGGACACGCAACGTAGGCAAGAAATTCGGAGTGCTCACACATGGTTCGGAATCAGAGAGTTGAACCGACTGTCAAATGTGCAAGTGGCACTGGGGCACTGGCACATACAAGCAGCCGCCACATAGGCAGACATGCGACGCAAGTCCTCTTCAGAAGCAAGCTGTCGCTAGACTCACAGGACATCAATTGAGAATATTATAACCACTGTTGCCAGAACTTTTTGGGCCGACCGGCTAGATTAGCAAAAAAGCGGCTAAAAACGGCTAAAATGTTTTAGTGAAATTTCACATAGACTCTGGCAAAAAACGGCTAAAATGTTTTAGTGAAAATCCACATGCTTTATTTAAATAAATCGCAAGAAACGAAAGACTATTAACACCATTAATTTATATCGAGTGTATATTCCTCATCATCAAATGAATCACTATTGTATATATCACTTGAATTCATTAATTTTAAGAGATCGTCATCTACAGTAAAATTATGGCAGCATTTTTCTTCACGTTTTAAACCGTATCTTATATATAAAATAGCGTTTAACGTTTTAACGCACATTGGATTTCTTTGCTTAGTTTTTATTATATTCATTGAACTAAATATTCGCTCTACTTCTGCATTACTTATAGGCAAAACAAGAAAACTAAAAACTGGGTTGCAAAGGTCAGCAAAAGGGTTTTCTCCTAGGGCATTTCGAAATTGATAAACTTCGGCCCAAAATTTTACAGTTGAGTCTAAATTACTCCAGGTATGTAACGTTACCGTTTACTTTTGGTTTAATCACTCTTAATGCATTTCCAACCGACAAAAGTCAATTTTTTTTTAGTGTGGCAATATTTGTAGGGAGGCGTTGGCGTAATTCCTTTATTAAAGTGATAATAAAATAGCGACCATTTTCTCGAATTATTTTCTCGGCTTCGTGGTCAAAAGCGTTTGTGCTTAATTTTGTTTTTAAATACTCTTCAAAACTGTGATAAAACTGAGGAAGTGGAGCAAGGTATGGTTCCAACGGGGAGCATATAGGATCAAATGTGTCCGCGCTAATAACCACTAGGGAGCATAGATGCGAAAGTAAAACATTGAGTTCATTAAAAATCTTCATTGGGTCTGCATTTTTGCTTTCGAACAACTTGTTTACTTTTTGCACCTGAAAATTAGGCAAATAGTAAAATCGGCTAAAAACGGCTAACTTTTATTTACAAACCGGCTAACAAATCGGCTGCCGGCTATATCGAATTTTCTCCGGCTAGTTGCTATCAAAACCGGCTAAATCTAGCCGGAAAACGGCTAAAATGGCAACGCTGATTATAACCTACGCTTGCGCGCTCTCGCTCTCTCGCGTGTACTGTTTTACTATTTATTTGTTGTAACCTACTGGGTATCCAACTGATGAGATTATGAAAATTATAAATACGCGAAAATTAATATGCTAAATTGGTTTGTGAGTAATTTAATGCAAATTACTTGTAATTTCTAACGGTTCAATGGAAATCAACTGCTTGTGAAGAATACAGGGTGATTATTGTCAATTAACGTTTCAATTGTAACAGTAGTTATTCGTTCGCAGAATGAAAAACATTTTTTGCTAATGAACGTACACTGACGAAAAAAAAATTTAGAATTAGAAAAGAACTTGCTAAATTAAAAAAAATACGCAGCCAACTCGTTTTAAATTTGAGTATGTACATTATAAAATATGTCGTTGTGAAATGCACAGATGCTTTTTCGTAATTAAGAAGAAAAAAGAATTTAATTTTATGTTCTGTCTGATGGTAATTGAACCCGGACCCTCTTGGCAGAAACCAATTGTATCAAGCATCTTTGCACACTCAGCTAAAGCCATACATTTAAATGTGTTTTCAAATGTTGAGTTTGAATCAACATTACAGCGTGCGATTAGTGCATTTGTACAGATAAACATCCCTGCAGTAAAATTGTCTCTAGACAGTCTCTTAAAGCGCTAGTTCCGCCCTACACATTTCAGAACCATCTCTGAACTAGTGCGAAACGGCTGCAGAGAGGGACAGTTGAAACTTTTGGTGTGTTAGTTGCGCTCTGTTGAGAAGTAAATGCACAAATTCTCACTTCTCGTACAATACGAAAATAGCTCAGCGGGAAGACCTCCGACTCTAATATCGCTGGTCATGAGTTCAAATCGCGGTGGAGGCAGTTGTGTGATTTTCAGATTTAAGAAATTTAAATTGTTGAGTACCGCTTAAAAATTTAAGAGAAAATTATCGAATTTAATATAAATAAAATAAAAGAATACAAAAAATAAATAAAATGCAATATGTAAAAGAACATAAAAAATTAAAAAATATGATAACCAAAATTTTTTTTATAAAAAACCTATTGTCGCAGATCTGTCCAAAACGGAAAAAGTTCAGAAAAGAAAAAATATCCGGTAATTTGGTTTAAAAATGTTTTCTCATAAAAAAACTTATTGGCCCAGAACTGTCGAAAATGGAACCAGTTGAGAACTAGTTCCAAAGTTCTGCATAGGTGACAATTTCCACTTCGTAGGACATAGCCATGTAAAAAGAGACAGTTGAAAGCATTGCGTTGGGATAGATCGAGAACCAGTACCGTCTCTTAATGAGGTAGTTCTGAGCTAGGACATGTACCATGTATATGTGTATGTGTTGTCACCGCTGTGCATGCTGGCTATGCCTGACCAAACGGTTAAACAGATTTCAATTCTGTAAAAAGCACATTTTTGGACCTTCTGTGTGGAAGGTTCTTTGATTTAAAAAAATTTGAAATTTTTTGTTGTTGCCGAAAAATGAAGAAAGGTGAGACGTCACGATTTCACAGTTTCATAAAGTTTCCCGTATATTAAATGTCACTAAACTACTAAACGGCTGGACCGATTTCGTTCATACATATTTGGAACATATTTCAGCGCCTTGAAGGAAAATATTTCGACTAAAAATTTAATCGCTAGGTGGCGCTGGGGTGGGGATATTCATAAAAATTGCATTTACTTGCTGATTTGGCTCATATTTAGAAAACAATTTAGCCAATTTAAAAGAAATATTTGGACTTGAAACTTACACGATGGCCGAGACATCCCGAAAAATTATTTTACGCTAAGAGTAGGATATATCTACTATATTTTTGTGGAAGTATGTTTGTATGTATGTATGTGCCAGGTTGCAGCCTAAACGGACGGACAGAATCGAACAAAATTTTGACCAAGTATTGCCATGACACCTGGGCCTATAATAGGGTAAAAAAATTGGGATTCGACAAGGGGGCGTGGCACCTCCCATAGGTGTGAAATTTTTTAACAGCTATAACTTGGGAACCATAAGCCCTACGAACTTGAAATTTGGTATGCAGGCACAGCTACGGTAGGTGCTTATAATACGGTATATGTAAATGAGTTTGTAAAAGGAACGTGGCACATCCTATAGGCAAGGAATTTTTTATCAGCTATAACTTGGAAATGGTATGAGTTTGTAAAAGGCACATCAAATGGGCGCGGAGTTTTTAATCAGCTATAACTTCGACACCATAAGTCATAGGAACTTGAAATTAGGTATCCAGACATATCTACGGTAGGTGTTAAATAATAAGGTATCTACGAAGGAGTTTGTAAAATGAGGCGTGGCACATCCCATAGGCTCGGACTTTTTTATCAGCTATAACTTCAAAACCATAAGTCATATGAACTTGAAATTTGGTATGCAGGCACAGCTACGGTAGGTGCTTATAGTATGGTGTACATGAATGGGTTTATAACAGGGGGTGTGGCACATCCCGTAGGCGTGGAATTTTTTATCAGCTATACCTTCGACACCATAAGTCTCATGAACTTGAAATTTGGTATGCAGACATATCTATGGTAGATGCTTATAGCAAGGTATATATAAATGGCTTTGTAAAAGAGGGCGTGGCACATCCCATAGGCGTGTAAATTTTATCAGCTATAACTTCAAAACGATAAGTCACATGCAGTTGAAATTTGGTACGCAGACGTATCTATGGTAGGTGCTTATAGTAAGGTATATATAAAAGAGGCGTGGACCTTTTTATCAGCTATAACTTCGGAAACGTAAGTGCCAAGAGCTTGAAATTTGGTATGCGGGCATATCTATGTTAGGCGCTTATAGTAAGGTATATATAAATGAGTTTATAAAAGGGGGCGCGGAATATCCGATAGGCGTAGAATATTTTACCAACTGTAACTTCGGAGCCATAAGTCACATGAACTTGAAATTTAGAGTGCAGACATAATATGTTCAGCAGGGGAATATAGTAAGTTATATATAAATGAGTTTATAAAAGGAGGCGTGGCACATCGCACATTCGTGGAAAATATCAGCTATAACTTCGGAGCCATATGTCACATGAAATTGAAATTTAGTTTGCAGAAGTATCTACGGTAGGAGCTTAAAGTAAGGTTTGTATACATGAGTTTGTAAAAGGGAATGTGGAGCATGGGCGTGGAATTTTTAATCAGCCATAAATTGGGAACCATAATTCACATGAACTTGAAATTTGGTATGCAAACATATTTATGGGAGTTGTTTAGAGTAAATTATACACAAATCAGTTTGTAAAAGGGGGATTTATATGTATTCATCAGTTATATCACTCGGATATTTAAAACTGTGTCTTACAGTCTTTAGACCATTTGGAAACGGAAAGATTAAATCGTTTATTTGCCCCGCGATGCTGTTAAACGGAAAATATTCATTCATAATTAATAAATCTCCTTCCGAAATAAGCATTCTACCAGAAAGGTGCAGCTATACTAAAAGAGCTAAACGAATAGGCACCTAAACGGAATGTACCGTAGTAGACTAATTTTAATTAAAAAATTCTATCGTTACCTTAATTCGAAATATTCAACTTTGAACACTTTTCACTTGATTTAAATACGAACATATTTCAACGGTAATGAAATAAAAAATTTTAATTTTTACAACACATT